GCCTAACTATTATATAGAGTTTGTTATGTACTCGACACTGTTCTGAAGTGCTTTTTGTATTTAATTCTCAAAATACCCCATGCAGTAAGTACAAATGAGGAGACTTACAGTGAAGAAATTCTTACAGATGAGGACACAGAGGCATGAAGAGGTTGAGGGACTAAGCCAAGATTATATGGGTAGGAAGTGGGATAGTTGAGTTAGAGTCAAGCTGTCTTGTCCTCGAGCCCCTGTTTTTAGCCACCAGTTCTGTCCTGTCTCAGTGCTTACGAGTGTTGTGCCTGCAGTCCACAGGACCCATGTAAGACTCAGCTGTATTTCAGAAGAAAATGCAAAACCATGTTTACGGAACCTGTTATCTTTAGGCCTCAGGCTCTGGAATAAAAGACAAGACAAGGGCCCAGGGGACCTCATCAGTGAGGAGGGAGTAGCAAGTGGATTTCCTCCACTTTCTCCAGTTCATGGAGTATTTCTGGTCTTTCCACCTTGGCCAGCACTGCCAACCTCTCAGATGACAGTATGTAAATGTGAAAGGGAAGAAGGGTGGAGGTTTAAGGAGTGGAATAGGGGAGTTTCCTTGTTTCCAGGTCACCTGGCTGGGGGAACTATTTCTGAGGGGCCATTGTCAATGATCATTTTATGTAAGGAACCCACACATGTACACATAAAGATATATAATAGTCATGCACCGCATAACAATGTTTTGGCCGACAAGGGATTACCTATATGATGGTGGGCTCATAAGATTATAATGGAACTGAAAAATTGTTATTGCCTAATGACGTAACCAGGACATCATAGCACAACACACTATTCACATATTTCTGTGATACTGTTGTAAACAAACCTACCGTGCTGCCAGTTGTATAAAAGTTCAGCACATTTGATAACATACAGTATCTAATACTTGATAATGACCATAAACGACTATGTTACTGGCTCATGCATTTGCTATCCTATACCTTTTGTCATTATTTTGGAGTGTGCTCCTGCAGTTGTAAAAGACTGTAATATAGCCTGGGGCAGGTACTTCAGGAGGTGTCCAGAAGAAGACACTGTTACCATAGGAGATGAGAACTCTAAGTGTGTTATTGCCCCTGGAGACCTTCCAGTGGGACACGATGTGGAGGGTGGAAGACAGTGATGTGAGCGATTCTGATTTGTGTGCATTCGTGTCTTAGTTTTTAACAGAAAATTTAAAAAGGAAAAAAGAAATGAAAATTTTAAAAATAGGAAAAGCTTACAGAGTAAAGATATAAAAATATTTTCATATAGTTGTACAATGTTCTTGTATTTTAAGCTAAGTGTGCTTGCAAGAGTCAAAAAGTGAAAAATATACTAAAAGTTTATAAAGTAAAAAGTTACAGGAGCTAAGGTTAATTTTGTATTGAAGAAAGAAAATCAATGTAGTGTAGCCTGAGTGTGTGATATTTATAAAGTCTGCAGCAGTGTTTGGGAACGGCCTAGGCCTTCACATCCATTCACCACTCATTGACTGACCCAGAGCAGCTTCCAGTCCTAAGTACCCAAGACAGGTGTACCATTTTTTAAAAGCTCCTTTATGCCATATCTTTACTGAACGTTTTCTGGGCTTTTAAATATTTAGATCACAAATACTTACCATTGTACTACAGTTGCCTGCAGTATGCAGTATAGTCACATGCTGCACAGATTACAGCCTAGGGGCAGTAGGCCATATCGCAGAGCCATAGCCCAGATATGGAGCAGGCTCTACCGTCTAGGTTTGTGTAAGTGCACTCTGTGACTGCACAATGACAAAATGATCTAACAACACATATATTTCTCAGACTATATCCCTTTTGTTAAACGATGCATAACTGTGTATATATATTTTTAATGTATAGAATAAGTTATTTTTCAGAATGGCTGAAGAGAGACTTTTTAGTGCCATTTACCTCATCGTGATTTCAACAAATACTCATCAAATGCTTGTTCTGTGTCAATATGCTGAGCTAGGGTAATGGAAATGGGGAGTCAAAGAGCTATGACCCCTGCCCTTCCTGAGTTTGCAGTCTGGAGCTTGGTAGATGCAGTCTCTGTCCAAATAATGGCATAAGCCCAAAGTGCTACTCGGGTGAGTGCTGCAGAGGAAAGGCCCTTGGTCCCAAGAGATCAGGGTGGCTCTGGTAGATGAATGAGGGACACTGGTATCCTGACCATGCGGGTTCTTGCAGGCCATGCCAAAGAGCTTTGACTCTGGCCTGAGAGTCATGGGATACCATGAAAGTGGGGAGGGTTCGTGGAATTTGTGTCACATGATTAGATTTTTTTCCCTTTGGAAATATAATTGCGGTTACATTGGGAAGAATGAATTGGAGAAGGGATATAGAAGACTTAGAAGGCAGATGTAAGAATCCAGCGAAAGGGGTCAGGACAGCTGGGGCTATGGAGGCTTAGGTAGTGAAGAGAAGTGCGGGGGGCGGGGGGTGGGGGGCGGGAATGCTACAGGTGTCTGGGATGGGAGAGTCACTACCTGTGGTGGTAGATTGGATGCGGGGAGTGAAGGGAAGAGAAGGGACGAGGACAGCTAGAAAGCAGGAGCACGGCAGGCCTGTTCCCTGAATTGGGATATGCTGGCAGATAAACCGGTTTGGGGTGGAAGGACATCCGTGTAGTTTTGCAGTGTTCAGAGATGTCAGATAGGGTGCACTTTGGATTGTGAACATGTGGGTGTCAGTTGGGCCATCGACAGGCCTCGATGGATTGTCCTGGGAAACCAGCTACTGTGGAAAAATATAAAGATCTATAATTTTGATTTTTTGAATTCAGATGTTTTCACCCTAGACAGTAAGAAAAGAATCTAATAATGGCAAAGGAAATTAATAAAAACAAATGTATAATCTTTCTATTTTCATTTTTGTGTTCTTCTGCCAGTCTTTTCCCATAAATATTCGTATTTTAATTAGTTGTCATTATAATCTACGTAGAAGATATAATAGGATTGTGTTTCCTTACCATTATCCCAAATATTTTCCCAGATTTCTATATCTCTCTCAAGGCTGCATTTAGAACATGTATAATATTCTGTTCATTTGGTAAATCATAAGTGGTAATTTTCTAAGCAATTGCTCTACTTTTGGATGTTTAATTGATTTTAAGATTTTGTTAATACAGGTAGTACTTTCATAAATATTATGTGTATCACCTTTTTTTCCTCTTGCATTTTTTTTTTCTTAAGGTAAATTCTTGCAAATGGGATTCATGGGTTAAAGAGTTTGAATAGATTTCTGACTTGTCATATGGGTCAAGGCAAACGTTTTCCAAACCACTGACAGGGCTGTGAGGCGAGACCGTAGGACAGATCTTTGCCCTCCACACGGAAGCCCAGCATATTTCTTTGAATTCAGTAACCAGTGGTTCTATCCAGATCAGTGAATACTTGAAAGGTCACCTGGGACCTTCTATCACACATCTGCTAATTGTGCCAGTTAGTGGCTATAGATCTGTCTAAGGCCACTGAGCTCACCACCTTGCCCTCGGAACCCTGGGCTAGCTCCTCCCTTTTCTCACGCCTTCTGCTTGTAGGATGCCACAGTGACTTTAGAACCAGTGGAAGCCCCAGAAGGGAACAGATGGAGTTACCTGAAAAAGTGAGCCCTGTAAGCCTCAGGCTCCAAGAGACTTGCATGGGTACTGCAGAGGCTGCCTGTGGTTCCCATGGGTTTGGATGGGTTCTCAAGACCTTCCGTGACCTGGTCTCCGCTTAAGAGATTTACTTGCCATTGCTTCTCAAAATAGCACCTCCACTCCACCCAGACAGGTTGTTTTCTGGCCCAGGAAGAGGCCTCTTGGCCCTCACTCAAGTTGCTTCCTCACCCTCACCTTTGCAAACCTGGCTTCTCTTTTGGACTCGAGGAGTGGCAGTGCCTTCAGGCAGCACATCTGACTTCCCACACGGCGCTCCTGCTTCAATCTCCTGCACTCCTGCAGGACCCTCCATCCACATACCAGGACATAATTATATGCTTTCTTTAATGTTTGTTTTTGCAATTCTTATTTCTCGAAGATAACTGTACTCTTCTTGACAGCAGGAGCCATGCCATCCTTCCCTAGACCCCTCCAAGCCTGGCTTCAGTGCTGAACCCTTTGCCTGAGCCCAGCCAGTCCTGTGTGACCGGTTCCCGTTACATCAAAGCGTCTGTGTCCATGATGCAGTGTCAAGCGTCTTAGCTGTCCTTTCTTTTTGTATTTTCCACATAAGTGCTCATATTTAAAACTTGCTGAGGATATTATTAAAATACTCATGGATGGAGAATATTCCTGTTCTCTTTTGATCACACTTTGGGGGTTGTAAGATCAAGTTAATGCTGGAAAACTGTAACCTGGTCACTTGATACTTCTGAATCCTCGATGTCCACTAGGAAGGGCAGGGTGACAGGTTACAAGGACCTGTGGGGGGATAAGGAGCAGTAGGAGGCACCAGAATATCTGCCTGGCCCTTAAAGAGGCTGGTGTCTTTGGCCTGGGAGAACAGTGCTTGTATTGTAGTGAAATGACATGTTCTGCTATTGTATTTCTTGAAAAATTGGTCCCAATGGTACCCCGCTCTTTTTACCTCTCACTTTAAATTCTGAGTGCATCAGATTGTTAGGAGTCTTCAGGGGGACCCACCTCCAGTTCAGCCTGGAAGTTGGAGCTTTCCTTGTTCTCTAGAGATGACCTGGCACAAGAGGGACTGTGGCTGGATGTCGGGAGCCTTCAGGCTGGGCTGGGTCTCTGCCACCCATTGTCCAGCTCTGCGCAAGCTCAGACGTCAGCCTACTCTCTTGTAAAATGACATACCTGAGCTAGATGATCTCTAGGCCCTTCTGCAACTGAGATTAAAACCAAAATAATTGAAGCTGTCTTCAGAGGGTAAGCTTGAGTTCATTTTTAACTCAAAGGAGAAATAGGCTCATTGACACATTTAATGACATGTGTTAGTATGTGTTAGAACTTTACACTTAAACTTGCATTTCTTTCTTTCTTTTTTTTTCTAGCCAAACATCATGTCAATGGCAACAGAACAGTCGAACCTTTCCCAGAGGGAACACAGATGGCTATATTTGGTAAGATATCAACTCTGAAAGAAAACCCAAATTGTGTGCAAAGATGAGTGCCAAATTTCTTAGTTTTAGCAAGTGTCCTGAGGGCTTCAAAATCTGGGCTCCTCTAGATATTTACAAGTTGTTACAGCCAAGAAAACTATTGAGTTCCTAGTAATCTCTGAGATTGGAAAAGCTTCTTCTATAGAATTTAGTGTGCTTTATTTTCTTACGTCGACAACCAAATATCAAACTGAGTATTTGCTATTTCTTATGTCCACATTGTAAATTAACCTGCTAATTTAGGGTTTGCGTTTTTCTTTGCTAGCAGGATTTTTTTTTTCCACATGGATATATCAGTTTGTTAAAGGCTGGGATTTAAGTAGTTTTGACTTGTTATTCCACAAAAATCAATCTAATTGAATGATTTATTTCTTCTCCATCATGAATTAAGCACACTCCTTAAGAGAAAATGTTGATTAAAAATGTTTTCAGTGAAGTCCAGTCCTTGAGTGGTATATTATGTGGCAGGGCAGAACTTCTCTGTTAAAATTCCAATCTATTGGGTGAAGAGGTCCTTTTAAATCTGTGTTTTCTTCCCTCCATTTCTTGTGTCACCTAAACTTCCTTTAGAATGTCTCTTCCCTGCCTTCTTTTTTCTGTTCCTTTCCTTCCTTACCTCCCCTTCCTTTGGGCCTCCCTCCCACCTCCTGTCCCCTTCTCTCTAGCAATTCTCTGGGGTTCATCCCTGTGTTACCCACTGAAAATGATGAACTCTGTCCTCTGGAATTTTAAGTGGACATTCAGTGCCTCACCTGGTTCCTTCCCCTCCACCTTTAGACGGTTCTGTGATGACGCTCATCCTAAAAACATGAGGTCCTTGATTTCATGCCTCCTATATCTTCTCTCCTACTCTGGTCTGGATGGTCATCTCCTTTGAGGGTACAAAACTGCTCTGAAGCCTTGAAGTGCACTTGAACTGGAAATTAGCCTCAGAATAACCTGGTCTGTGACTGAGCACATTCAAGATAGATTGTACCCTTATTCCCAGAGATGGAACCAGAATTAGACATTAGTGAGGACTGGCAGTTGGAGTTATAAACAGGGTCCCAGTTCTACCTCAGTGTTGGTAAATCATGCTCTGTACAGACTGTCACCTTTTTAAATAGATTGATCAGTGATTAGAAATCATTATGCTCAGAAATTTAAGTGAAGTTGATTTTGTAGAAGGCCTCACAGACTCTCTCAAACATGTGCTAAAATGTTTGATTTGCTAACCTTCCTGTCCCAGCCTGTTGTCTGTTATTATGGGACAACAAGTGTCACATAAATCAATGTTCATAGGGTTCTTTTGATGATGTATTTATTTATTTTCCAGTCCCTCGGATTTGCCAACCCCAGGCATATGAGAAACTAGGTCTTATGTCACATTGGGAAATAGTAAATGACACTAACTCCTTTTAGTGGGTTTCCCTCTATTGGGATATTGGAGTAAAACTTCTTTCTTGAAGGGCAGACCCAGTATCAGATGGGCTGATGACATTGTTTGACTACAGAATGGGATATATCAGGGAATAAGGCTCTATGACAAGCCTTTTTTTTTTTTTTAAGCCAGGGGTGGGGGTGGACAGGTTTGATTTATAGTGGGTTACTAAACATCCTTACCCAAGGCCTTCATTGTTTAACTTTACACAAGTAACTTCCCCTCTCCAGTTTTTGATGCCTCCATTTTCTTAGAGCTGACGGGTGAGCTCTAGGACCTCTGCAGTCCAGACCCTTGGCTTTTACCTCTTACATATTCAGGATCGAAGATTCCTGGAGCAGGAGGCAGCCCTTGGGAGGCCCACTGTGCGTGGCCAGCATGTGTGGTTTTAAAAGAGATGAATCATATGCATAATTTCTATAAGTTAACAACATGTAAGAGGCAGAATTATACAGATCATAAAATAGAATACATTTGACATCTAAGAATTCCTACTTTAGAAATGCAGTTTAGCTCTTCCAGATGCTTAAATTAAGACCCTATTTTGGTTAAGTATATACAAGCATTTCATATTAATGTCTTCAAAATGATTCTCACTTTCTCACTTTCTATGGCTTGTCCACCTGGCCTAGAGTGGAGTGGTGAGTTTTGCAACCTTTGAGGATGGGCTTCTGCCATTCTGGGTTGTTTATCACTGCACTAGAAAGGTCAACTCAGCACAGTGCCTGACTCTGGAATACATTGGGCATTTCACCCTGCCAGCCCCTTGCAAAGCTGATGGACTCACATACTTCTCTTCCTAGCGAGGCCATGTGACTTATCCAGAGCCACTCGGCCAAGGAGGTGGTTGGTGGAGCTAGAGTTTGAGCCCAAGTCTAATTGACCCTGAATCCATGTTCTTGTCATGATGTTCCCCGACTGTCTCTGCACTGGTTCAAGGAGCCCTGGGAAGGCCTGATAGATTCAGAGGCACCTTTCAGCTGGATCCATGCACAAAAGCATGATTTCCAGCCACGCCCATTTAGCACGTAGATTTGTATGCTTGCATGCCTTCCTAGAAGGAGTCTTGAGAAGCAGCCTTTGCTGGGAGCATACTGATTGGAGCAACATCTCCTGCTACTATCATGCTTTTCCATTTAACTGTAGTAGCATGTATTAATGCACAGGAGAATGTCTTACATTCACATGACTGTGAGTTTGCCAAAACAGTGATGGCACTTGTGCTTGTTCAAACCCCTTCTCCAGCCTTGGAAGTCTTCACATTTTGTGATAAAATAGTATCACCAATTACAATGTCATTTTTTCTTTTTCTTTTTCTTTTTTTTTTTTTTGAGTTGGTGTCTTACTCTGTCGCCCAGGCTAGAGTGAAGTGGCACAATCTCAGCTCACTGCAACCTCCACCTCCTCAGTTTAAGCCGTTCTCCTGCCTCAGCCTCCCAAGTAGCTGAGATTACAGGTGTGCATCACCACGCCCATCTCATTTTTTTCTTTTTTTTGTATTTTTAGTTTCTCCATGTTGGCAAGACTGGTCTCAAACTCCTGACCTCAAGTGATCCACCCACTTTGGCCTCCCAGAGTGCTGGGATTACAGGCATGAGCCATCGCCTCTGGCCACGGTGTCTTTATCTGTTGATTAATCAGTTGAATATACCTTACCTGTAGAATGCTACCTAAATAAGAACTTTGAAATTTAATCCGCTCTACAAATGACCGTTGAACTACCACGAAGCTTTTCGATTAGATTGTGAAATGTGAGAAAGGACAGCTAGAGTCTGAGATAAAGGCATTTCAGCATGAAAAATGCATGAATGGGTCATATCAAGGGATGAGAGAATAGATAGATGATTCCTTAAAAACTGTTGCTGGCCTACAGTCTTTGCAGATTTTCTTTTGTAGTCCAACAGTTTTTCTCCTGGTCTTGCTTTTCTGCCCCCGCCATTCTTAGGCTCCTCTGTGGCTCTCCCTCTCCCCTCCCCTTTTGGACAATGAGAACGAAGGTAATAGGCTCGGTCCTCCTGGGGGGCTTCTCCTGCCTGTGTGTGATGCTCTCTTTCAAGTCAGTGGGAGCCCTTTGCTTGCAAGCTGGAAAAGTGGAGCCATACATTTCTCAATTACTTCCTGTCTTTGTTCATGGTGGGGGTGAGTGCCCTCTAGCTCTCACCCTTTTGAACCTTAGAGCGCCCGCCCTGTGTAGTGGGCATTACTGTGTTCTTTTATAGGCAGACAAACTGAGGCACCCAGAGATTAAAGAAACATGGCCAAGGCTTCCTCAGGTATGAGAACCTCTTTTGCTGTGCCTGTCCTAGAAAGGTTTTGTCTGGCTGTCAGTATCTTAATGAAAGTGACAATCCGTTGGCCGTGGGCCACTCGGTGCATGCAGAGGGCCAGGCTCCAGCCTCTGCAGAGGTGGTTCTGGCACAGAGCAGCTACTCATTGCCTTAAAAATACTCTAGAGTCAACAAGATGGGTCATTTCACAAGAGAATCAAAGCTTACTAATTGAAAAGGCTGGAAAATAGACGGCAGGGGATTCCAAGCTTAATTTGTGAAGATTTTTGGTACACTTAAAATGTATTTTATATAAAAGATTAGCCAAGCATGGTGGCACCCACCTGTAATCCTAGCTACTTGTGAGGTTGAGGCTGGAGAACCTCAGAGGCAGCCTGAGGTTGGAGAACCTGGAGAACGTGGGAGGCAGAGGTTGCAGTGAGCCAAGATCGCACCACTGCACTCCAGTCTAGGTGATAGAGTGAGACTGTCTCAAAAAAAAATTTAAACACTACTATCTTTAAACATAAATTTGTCACCCAAACTAGGATATGTTAGAGAGTGAAGAGGGCGCTATGAACAATTCTGTTGAAATAATGAGGGATAAATCTGGAAGATTTTAGGCAACCAGGATATAATGTCCCCCTGTAGCAAGGTCATATATTATTAAATATCGCACCAAGAATAATAAATACACATCGAGCTATGTAAAAATGGAAAAATAATGAACTTGGATAGACAAAATAAAGTGAGCAAATGAAAAAATTGCAATACCATGGATTGGATTGTTTATAATATCACATCCATACGAGTAGTTATGATAGTTCTATAAGAGTAAGGGAATTGATCTGATTATACACTTACAGTTTTAATATTGTACTAATACTTTCCAGGTATGTAGGGTAATGAATGCTCCGTCACTTGAGGTATTAAGATGGTAGAGTGGTCATCCCTAATGCGTTTGGAAATGGGGCTGTGTAGCCTTTTAAGACCCTTTCTTCTCAATTACTGAGAATTGACTTTTGCTTCAAAACACTGAAACATTAAGAAATTCTGCTAACTCCAAATTCTTTGACCCCATCATTATTTATTTTTTAATTTAAAATTTTTGTGGGTACATAGTAGGTGTATATATGTATGGGGCATGTGAGATGTTTTGATACAGGCATGCAATGTGTAATAATCACATCAAGGAAATGGGGTATCCATCGCCTCAAGCATTTATCCTTTGTGTTACAAACAATCCAATTATTTTTAGTTATTTTTAAAATATG